TGTCCTCTTTCATTTTCCTTTCAATTTTCGAGGGGTTAACCAATGAATTTTTGAGAAATTTTCACCAGAAGCAGACCACCCCTAAAATGCAGAAAATGTCCCTGTCCAGAAAAGTAGCCATTTTGAAAAACCATCCCTCGGCAAAATGGCTCAAATAGTGCCACTTTCAAAGCTGATTGCATCCGAATTGCTCAGAATTGGAAGCCTTGAGTCCGGCCCAGAGGTTCAGTCTCATTCCTCAGTTCCATGGCTCTCAGGACCCTCTAATGTAGAATATTTTGATTCTATAACTTTTATTAATGAGTTCGGCCGACATATTTCAATACGAGGGTGCACCCTCTGGCCGAGGCGAGTGCATGTATGTAGCGCCCTCTATTACAGCCGACGACATTAGTCTTAAATCCGTGCTAGCCAGTTTCCGTGGAGTTGTTTACAAAAATGGTTTCTGCACGTAGGTCGCATCATAGTGCCCTAGCCTATTGGAAGTTTTGTTTGACGTTCGCGTTGCTTGTCACACGTTCTAAGTGCAGTACATGCACTTTGGCTCACTGCGGACCAGGGTTGTTCACTCGCTTGAACGAGTTATCACTGTATGCAGGGCATGCATCGTAATGTACATGTACATGCACATACGGTACGTGATAGTTGTTACTAGGCCTCTTCAGTGCCAGGCTTGGTGATAAAACCAGTCCATGAAATCTCATGCGAGGAAGATGTCGATCTTCCAAACTGTTGATACAGCTTGTAAAGTTTTTTAGACTGATGAATATGTCCGATGAATGTGACATGTTGCGGTGTATGATGACTGCGAAGAGTACGGATGGATTCAGTAAAAGTTCAATCATTATGGTAAGATTATTGTAAATTTTTATTCCGCTTCCATGAAAACTACATCCGTAGGCCTGTGAAAAACAATTTATTGGAGGGTCTAAATGTACTGCAGTCATACAAAGGCTGTATTTTATTGCTCCATGGTGTAACATGACCATTCTAAACGGTAAAGTTGAATATCCAAGCTCAATATGAGTCTAGAGGGCACAATTGGATTATCCGCACTTGCTGTAACTTAGACGTAAACAAAGCATACGTGTTTGGAGGAATAGTTTAACTTCAAGTATCCTGGAACAAAATAGCTTACAAAATGTGTATAGACTGTAAAAGACAATTCTGTGCAATTTCTGGTCGGCGGTTCAGACTCGTAATTTGGTTCACATAATGGGGTCACTCCGGCATGTACTGTGCCTCCGAGTCCGATTACTGAAATCTGTACCCATTTTGGAATTTTAATTGCATCATTTCTGTGGGTATTTTGATTGGTCCCCGTTAAAGGCTACGTAACTTGGGTAGATATTGAGATCGTTTAAAAGCGCCAAGGCTTGACCTCTTCTACTTACTTTCGACAATTTTTCTTGCTTTCGTACGTGTTGATGACATTATTGCACAACCGTACTGAGGTAATTACAAGATCATAGGTAAACAAAGTTGAAAATGTTTTCACCGTTGCTAAAAGGCTTTGCCGAAAATCCGGACGTTTGTCCTTCGTCAGGGTGGTGGCGGACAAACGCCCAAAAATTCGGCAACCTTTTGCATCGATGGCACTTTTCAAATTTATTGTTTACCTAAATTTCAATGTACAGTTCTACTCCTCACGGTAGGCTGCTTGATAGGATGGTTGTCAGACAGGCGTAAGACTTAAAAATAGTCTTTGATTAAGGCTCGAAATGGGATAAAAGCTCAAAGCGGTAATTTCAGGAAAACAGTACTGAGGATGTTTTGCTGTGTTCAAATTCGATTCAGACTTGACTTATGGGCTTATGGAATAACAAAAATACACTTAACTTTGAAGCCCCCCGGAGCTAGCGCTCCTTGTCGGTTGCAGCCATCCCCGGCCCATTACAGCCTGCATGGTTTTGCCTGATATAGGAAGTACCGCGGTGCCTATAAATATTCGAACTAATTCCGTCATGCTCTTTGATCGATATTTATACATTATATTACAGCTGTTGCCTCTCAAACGGCTTCATGCAAAGCCAGACTGCGAAGTTACGAAGTCAATCATTTCCACCTGATACCAATCAGTTTTAGAGGAATAGCTACGATGATGTGAGGGTAATAAAGTGTGTAAGTCTACGACCTATACGGTGAGCACGGGTGACTGGATCCGCACAAAGATGTGTACTCTTGAAAAGCCTGTAATTCCCAAATCAGGTAATTATAACATTGCGCTAGAAAGAGGCAAGTCTAGCGTCTCATTTAGTTTGACGATAATCCATTCCTCCATCATTTTCCAAGCCCTGTTGTACAGAATCTCAGAAAATAAAGGATGCGACTGATCTGCACAAATCATGGGCCTTTTTATAAATGTCACATAACTCTCTAACGTCACTACCAATAACTTTACTGGCAGTTGTCGTTATCCTCTAGTTTTTTCAAATTGCCATTTGTCAAACAGTTAAACCAAACAATGATGGAAACAGTATCCTGTATAATAACTCAGCTTTTTGTGTCCCACCCCGCCCACCCGCGATTTTTAATGAGAATTTAACCGTGACGAGGTGGATTGGATGTCTGACTTTTGTACATTGTCTCCTATATCACTCAGCCAACTACAGGCTAGTCCCGATACATTGAAACCGTAAATGCTCAAATTCATTTATGTTTTTACTATAAAAAACTGTAATCGACTTATTTTTTCAAACTGACAACTTTGCCATACTTTTACTTTCTTAAGGATTTTAGATCACGAATATCCCTGTGACCAAATTAAAGTTTTCTACGTTTGAGCAAAGTAAAAAAAAAGATTTTTGGTTTGTAGGTTGGAAAGACGCAAAACAGTTCCCTTACCTTTGAGTTTTTCTCTTTTGTTTTTCGTCTTGATACGTCACTGTGGAACAGGCCTGTGTTTATTCTTAAGGATCTATCTCGAATATTTTAATGATTTTATTGGGAAACATTTGATTGCTGCAGACAAGGAAAGATCAATTTTCTTCTTCACTTTACCATATAAGTGAAACGTCAGTGCCACTTCTCACATAATCATATGTACATGTATTTTTAGTCTATAGCTCGATCAATTTTCATGGTCAAATCTTTTAAGGAAACCGAGACGTATGGCAAAGTTGATAAAAACCACATCCTATATAAAAAATGAGCATTTGTTGGGTTCTGTTAATTTTGGGAGAAGCTGTATTTGTGAAAGAGAGGTGCTGCTTTCATGAATAAATGTTTTTAATACGACAGACTGATAAGTTAAACCCCCGATATCCTAATGTGTTCCGTGTAATACCCTATAGAGCCGGGTTTATTGGTAGTTTTAGTCAGTCCGAAGCTAAGTTCACATCTTCTGCATTTATAGAGGTTATGTGCTTTGTTGGGGTCTTAGAGCATGCTTAGAGGCTGTTCTTTGTTATTTTAATATCATTACGATTAATGACCCCAAAGAAGAAGTACCCTGTAACGTGACGTCATACGCATACAGTCTGTAGAGGCTCACGTCCCCCCTTTAATGTGGGACTACCACCGTGGATTGCAGAATCACGCCAAGCGTGAGCCTGTTTCTTCTCAACGCCGGTCTGCGTCGGTTCATACTTCAGACAAATGCGAAATCGAAGCGAATTTGACGTCACGCACATTTTGGCGGCGAAATTTCACTCGAGTTGAAATGTGTTCAACTTTTAAGAATTCACAACGCGAATAATTATTGGATCATTGACTTTCCGAATTCGCCTTAGCTTTCACTCAAAGTATGAACCGGCCTTCAGTCAGCATAATTGTGGAATTTCCATCATGGTATTGGAATACCATTATGGATTAATAAGTCATACCCATGGGAGCTAGCTTTATGTGTTTGTGGCTTTATGATTTAATTTGATATTTGCTGTTTTGAGAATTTTTTAATTAATCAATTTATCCATGCATCCTCGGCGCTTGTGTTGTTGGATACTCTATGAAATAAAATGAAATAAAGATCTAATCGCACTGTGGTTTAAACTTTCATTAATATGGAATAAAATCTTTTTCACTCAGATATAAAGTATTTTCTCCAACATCGATGGGACGAGACACCTGCTGTGAGTCAGCAGTTAGATGGCCTGAAGGGAAATACAACCATTCGTGATGCCTTGGACGATTTCTACACTAGAGAGGTTGCAATTCCTGAAACTTTATCAGCATTAAGGAAGGAGAAACTAGATCAGATCTTACCTGGCCTGATTGCTCGAATCCAGCGAAACAATTCAAGAGTGAGATGCCTGGAGCCTATATATGTTGGAAGTATTGCAGAAGAATTAAATATAAGGAAGGACAGCGATCTAAACATAATTTTACCTCTATCAGTGGTTGGAACAATTACGCCTATCCCTGCAGATCATAAACCCGGAATGTATGAACTAAAGCTTCCTCGTTTGTTCAACATAAAGGAAATTAATGAAGATCGATGGACAGGTTGGCGAGGAGAACGTGACTGTTTGTCACCCGTATTAGCTAACCTGATGTTCAGAAAGTTTATCGCTAAATGGCGTGATGTCAGACAACATACTGGAACAGTGGTGGAACCAGGTACTGATGCTGGCAAAACTTCACCAGTTCGTATTGTAATCGCTTTCAGTGATAAGCCAGTGTCTGAGAACAATGACATCCTGTCCATTGAAATTATTCCTGGAATAGCAATCGGCAAAAAGAGTTCTGGTTACCGAAAGTTGTTTGTTGCAAAAGACTTCACCTTACGTAATTCCTGCCAAGACTTGCTGTGGACTGCCGTGACATACGAAAATGAGAGGGTACTTTTGTACAAAGTGAACAAAGCGGACGACGGTTGCAGATTAAGGGTTTTGAAGATTCTTAAGGCACTAAGACGCAAAGATGAAGCACTTGCCCAGCTCACAACCTACCAGATGAAGCACGCCCTCTTACATCTGTGTGACGAACAAGTTGATCAAACTCAATGGCAGAAACGAAAACTCGAGCAATGCTTTATAGAAATATTAGGAAAACTGGTCGAGTTTGTTGCGAAAAGAGAATTACCTCATTTCTTTCTTGACAAATTGAATCTTCTCGACAATATTCCAGAGAAAACGTTGGCAAAAATAGAAAGCCGCTTAAAGGTGCTGTCCAAGCGGGAGAAAGAGCTTGGAAGACTTCTCCAGAAGGAATGAGAACGTTACTCCAGTTCACATCACACAGCTTCGAAAGAATCATCTACTATTTTGACCATCTTTCGTTTCGGAGCGAAACGAAACATTCCATTGTTGAAAGTTTACTGCATGGTTGTTTATAGATAAAAAATGCTGTATTATCGCATACATGACCATACATTTGAAGACGGAGGGCGGTGATGTGGGAAAACTGCAGTTTTTATATTTTTTTCTGTACTCCAATTCTTCAGACATAAAACACTAAGTTGTACAGGGGCTGTCTTGGAATACAAAAGTTAAAAACTGTCATCCGAAGATGCGCATGACCAGATGAATAACACGAGAGCTTGAGAGCCATGCAGAATAACGGTTCCTTACTTTGGTCGCGGGGGGGGGCATTAGGTTTTCATGCTATTGATAAATTATTATTTTATGTTCAGAGTTTGCGTACCGAAAGTTCTCTGTATATTTTGAATGAACATTTTCCTTTTCTTCCTTTGCAAGCGGAGGGGGGGTAGAAACAGATGCTTCTTTATTCTCTCGATAAAAGAAGTTACCGAATATTTTCTGTATGTGTAAGAAAACGTATGCATTTGGTTTGTTCGTTTTGCTATTTGTTGTTTATTTTCTTCTTCGTTTTTAACCGTCTTGTGAGAAACCTACTTGAAAATGACTCTTTACCCCTGTGAAATCAACCTCGCTTTGAAATATTTTTTCAGAGCTTCCGTCTCCAGTCTTTTGCACTAGTGCTAATTCGTTTGTATTAGTTTACAAGTGTAAAGCAAAAAGCACTGCAAAGGAGGCCAGATGCAGGAATTGTTAGGGGAAGTATCAGTAATTTTCTCATGGTGGAAAAATTTGAGTTATTTCCATGCAGCTTTAAAAAACAAAACAAAACTTTTCTGAGAGGTGCGTTTAAATTTGGTGCATTATTAAGCGCTTTAGGAAAAGAAAGTATATAAAATATTTTTAAATCTCGTCGTTCTGGTCGATATGTCTGTTGTTGAGAGGAGTCATTACCCTTTGGCTTTTGAGACCGTTGGCGTTTGATCCGTCAATGATTAGACTTTCCGTGGCTGTTTTATTGGATCTCATCACTGAAACCTGAGATCTCCGGCGGCGGAACGAATTGTGAAGTGGGGAGGGGGTGGTAGTTGTTAGACCATCAGGCATTAGCCATTAATAGGTCGATGCACTGAACCCCACCCAATTATAGGACTTGCAAAAAGTGTGTGGGGGGGGTAGGCCCTCAATTGAAAAAATGCGGGGGGGGGCACTGGCCCCTCGGCTTCCGTCGCCAGTGCCCTGAGACTCCATTTTCCCCCCAGGTGTTCGAAATTCGGTTGGTTACTTGTTCGGTTTGAACATTAACAATGCTTAGAGTGCATTTTGTAAGTCTGTCGTGTAGATCGTGTACATGTACATGTATGTGTGTTTAAAACAGACTTAATGGAGACCGTGAGGCTAGTCTAATAAGAAAACATTTTAGTCTGGGTCCCGTCTTCGATACTACGTGCGTTTCTGCGGTGTATTGGGTCAGGTTTCACTCTGTCTACGATAGACGATGCGGTCAACGGTCACGCACGCAGTGTGTGTACATGTACTGTAGGCTGCGTACTACACCGTACATGCACAATAAATAGGGTATATGTACATGTACAGTACAAGTACACTGTACGTATGGTGGTCATGAATACACAGCATAAATTTACGATGTTCAGCGTTATCTTGAATCTTGCGCAAATTTATTGTATACTTTTTCCTGAGTTGATTATCCCGTGAATGGTTGTCCTGACAGTGAAGGACAATCAACTCGAGGAGTACAGTAGCCTACGCAAGAGTCAAGATTGCGCTGGGCCATGGCTGAACATCGTTTTAACACTTAATGTTTATAAGCAAAAATAAGACGGTTTTTCTTTTAGTGCAAGGATGCACAAAGCAGTCTTATTCTTCCTCCATATGACAATGTTCAATAGTCAGCCAAACCACAAAGGTATTACAAAAGATTTCGGCCGAGAGCACAGCTTAGGAAACCCCAAATTGGACTTGACTTAACAGAGATAAAGTCCTTGGTGTATTATTAGTATCATCTTTGCCTAATTACGGCTAGGCATGTATGCTGGATGGTACACAGTTCACAAATGACCAACCAGATGACACAATATTGATAATCGATAATAGGGAGCTGTGTGACACAACAGCGTCGATGGAACAATGTCAACAATGAAAACACCAACACGCGCGTTATTACTTGTACAATGAAGTCAAAAGCTTGCTAATAGTACTTGCGGGCCATGCACATGTACACTGTGTACCACGAGGCATCTCGGAGTGAAGGACGGAGGCCAAAAAGACGAGGGTTAGCCATATCCTCAGTCATGCATTATGTCTGAATCACGAATGAGGTGGAACTCTTTATACTAGTGGAAATATCAAGACGTCTGCATGCACACGTGAGGGCCCACATATTGTTGTGGCTTGGGTTGTAAAATCCAAGTACTGTGCATGCCACGCACACAGTAGGCCAACTGCGACATATGCGACATCAATAGACGGAAGGAAGCGGCCAGCAAGAGCAACCATACAGCAACAGAGATGGCAGGTTGCACTGGGGTTTTTGATCGCTGCACGTAGCTATTAACAACAGCCATCTATGTGCTTCTGCTCACTTCGGTGGCAGAGCCATTATTGTGTTGCCATCGTGGGGAGGAATAATTGCTCACCATGGCAATCCCTACGACACGGTAAGTTTGCACGTTGGACTATGGTTGGATTTGATCCTAATTCATTAACGTGCCATGAACAAGGCCAAGAAAGAGGAGAGAACAAGGAAACATGAACGTATGTACGTGTATATAATGACGCTTGTCACTTTATATACGATTATGGACAACCAAAATTGTCAGCCATGTACATGCCACTCACAGCCTGATTAATGGTCAAGCGTTTGGGTATGATACTGATTACGTGCCAAACAAATGTCAAAAATGCGAGAGCAGCAACCGTAAGAAAAACCTTGGCGCCGGCTTAAATACGTACCTCAGTGTGTACGGTATTTGCAAAAATTGCTGTCGGGCTATTTCGTATTAATTTCCTCATTAAATTATTCTGTTTGAGGGTTTTGATGTCTTCAAGTTACTTCATATCATGCCCATACAAAGACCCAAGCCACTTTCTAATGATTCTCACGGCAACCGTACAGCAGTTGACACGAAGGCATAATTATCCCTGTTATGTAATTTCAATGCTCGTAGCGTGTAGGCGTATCGACCATTCCATTGGTCATTGACTACCGAATAATACTGACAAAGAGACTGAGTGATAAAGATCATAGTGGTAGGTGACTTCACTATGCGACAAATCGAATTATTCATTTTGGCTTTTAAAAAAATTGGTTGGGCGTAGCCAATAGACACACGACTGTATTATTGCGTCCGATATTAAAATATGAGTGCACCTTTCCACAGAGCTGAGGTTTCATTTATGTACCACTAATTGGATGCAAGCAAATTTCCCAGCGAAACCAAACCGGAATCTTGAGAACGATCAACCGTATTGAGAATTTCACGATACGCAGAATTAATGCACATAATACTGTTCAGTTGTACATGCGTGACGGAGGAAATGAAACATCATTTTTTTCAATCGTACACATTTATGTGGTTCATGTTATTTACTTTCATTTTATCATACTTGTGTGATATCATCTGAATGATTATTTGCTTGCCAGAATTGTTTGTGTCAGTGTTTTCGCATGTGGCTAAATGATCCCGATGATTATGTATGACGTATCGTACATGTACGTGTACATGTATGGGCGCGGTACGCGTAAGCGGTATGTACGTGTACATGTACATGTATGCATGTACATGTACTGTAGATGTACATGTACGTGTACATCATGTGCAGCAAGCACTAACCCGTTGGCGTTGGGAAATTTCCTTCTTCCATGCATGGTCGACACCAACCAGCATTTCCGTTTGTGGATATTGTCATAAAATGCAAAATATTTTCGTCAGCGATAGAAATATCTGTCATCCTCTCTGACGTGTTTGAGAACAACGTCCTATAGTCATGTACATGTAACGTCCACACGATGTTAATTTTCCTCTTGCACTACATGTACAGTACATCAAATTATATTAAGAAACTTGTACTGACTCTGCCCTCATGGTAACCTCATGAGTCCTCTTCAGGTTTATCATAGTCCAATTTGTTTGGACCGTATCGAAGCTTTCCTATGATAGGTCGTACCAAAAATTGAGCTGGCAATGTGGATCTGCTTCTCAATGCTCTAACTATAAGAATTTTTCATTAGGGAAATGTGCTAGGACCGGTGTTGTTTTGAGTTGTATTTTATTCATAAACTACTGTTGTACCTCAATAGTGTACACGTGTGCCATCTTTTCTTATTTTCACGAAGGTTTCAACATTCCTCTTTGAAAAACAAATAAATATTAATATCTCGGATGGTCTTCCGTAATATTTATGGGTGACACATTGTGACAAGAGAAAACCGTTCTTCTATTTCGCAGAATTGCCAGCCAGCACTTGATTAATTACCAAGAGTCCAACTTTAAATTTAATCCCAAGAAATGAGGTGTCATGTGGATCATAGTTGATAAACGTAAGATATTTTGTCAAATGGAGGATGGAGAAGTGGCGTTTTATGTGATTTTAAACATGTTTCAGTACAGAAATAAATGAGTTTTTTATATTTGTTAATGAAATTCCGTGGTCAAGTGGTCTTTTGCATGTGTGGATTTCGACATGTTTATAATGCCACGGAAAGACCTCATCTCAAGTTCAGTTTAGTTCTGTCTCTATCTCTGAATACAAATGTGAGTATCACTGAATCCATACAACTTACAGAGCTACTAAATTCATTCAGGTCTTGGAGGAACAGGCTGTTTGTACTGGGCCTACTCACCCTCGATTACATGTATATAGTCGGCTATGCGATTGATTCGAATTGATAAACCTCTTTAAATTTTTGATCATGTTGAAGTTGAAAAAAATTTTCATTCTGCATACACAAAACTACAAGGACGTGGTATAAGAATCTGTACGAGCAGCCATATAGACCGGATTTGGGAAAAAACATTTTTTTACGCCGAGTAAAATGGAATACAGTAACCAAGGAAATTGTCCAAACTCCAAGGGGAGTCTTTTAAACTTGTATACAGTTGTAGGTTTTTTTTTGGGGGGGGGAGATTACAGCCGCAAATTCATTCCAAGTAATCAATGAAAGGTTCTGAATTCCTCATCAATGCTATAATCATGGTATGTTCACCATTATAACGTCACTCTTGCGATTGTTATCCTGCAGCTACAATCCCTTTTATAATCCAGCAGCTACAAGCCCTTTTATAAACGAAGAATCTACTTGTTGAATTTAACATAGGTCAAATAGCCCCGTTGCTTTCGTTCGACTTGTGTCACAAGCAAGTTACAAGCAAATTTGCATTGCACCGGTACCACTGTGTAAACATACGATAAGCACGGATGGTAAATGCATTTTATATTGATTTTCCAGAGCTGGTGATGGTCTTTGTCACCACTGTTTGTTTTTGTGACATTTATTTCTTGCACGTTTTATAACATTGAAGCTGCATGTGTGAATCCATGCATGCTCACCCAATGTTGCACTTGTTTGCCTGTGTGCCTTCAAGCAAGTTGTAGTGAAAGCAAATATACATGCACTGAATTTTGTGTCCCGAATTTACGTTAAATGTGTTATTAATATGTGTGTGGCTTTTCTAGTAGACTTTACACTACAGTGGTAGCCTTCAAAGCATTAGTCATTTCGAATAGTAATGAACAAATTCCAGTTGTGATATCTTTAAGTTTTACAAGCCGACCCAAACCCAAATTATATCCCCACACATGAAAACCCTCGCGTGGAACAAAATATTTACGCAGGAAAGTGTCCTGGCTTGAAAAATTATCTCATATTAGCATATTATTCCGCAAAGTATTGAACTGCAATTCGGATGCCCCATTAGGCATCGCTGTAGAAGGTACATGATTTCAGGAGCGAATAATTGGTCAACCTAATTTTTAGGTAACTACATGTATATTAAAACAGATCGATCAAAGATACAATGTATACCCGACGCATACCATGAGCATGTCATCTGCTTGCTTATAATCTGCATTGTGTACTTGTTTTCCAGCCGGAGCAAGTGTACAGTATTGGGAAAGTGATACCATCTGCAGGTTTATTTCCAGGTTTCAGGCTATGTATAAAATACATAACTGTGTAACTGTGTGTAGTTTTATGACGTGTCTTCTTCTGTTAATGGCTAAACTTTTATTTGCAAAAATCTGTTTCCACTTGATCTAAGTGTCGGTTACAAGGAAAATAATAGTCTTTATGCGTTTAATGCGACATGGCTGTCAAAATATTTGAAACAATCATTAAGGTTCTTAACACGGTGTGCCTCATCGAGTTATCCTGCTATATTGACGAAGACTCCCGCTGAACCAGACACACCCAACGTGTGAATGCAATTTTTTAAGAGACACATCATTTGAATGCCAAGTGGATGTGTTGAGACGATGTGTTGGTTCAAAATGAGCTGACCGTGGAGAGAAACTTTGTTCCGTAAACCAGCCTAAAATAAATGGGTTGTGCTTTTGTCAAACCTGCCGCGCTCAAACGTGTGACAGTGCGTTTGTGCACTCGTGCATTCTTCGGAACCATCGTGATCGCGATAGATTCCTCGCCTGTGATGGGGTTTGCCTGCTGACATTTCGCGTGCGTCTCACTAATAATTCATGCTTACGGTGCTACAAGCTGTGTCTGGGTTTCCTTTAGCGATCCCTGTCCAACTAGATCTGTCAACTGTGCAAGTATTCAGGCAGATGGGGCTTTTATTCAAGCCACAGGAGAAAGCCTTAAACTTCACTTACGACTTATATTGAAAATCTTTGTACTCTTAGTCAGTGTACTTCAAACAACTCTGACTTCTTCATCGCGAAGTTAAAATTTGTTTGATTCATTGATTGTAAAACTCAGTACTTTTCTTACGTGCGTTAACATCGAATTCATCTTTTTTTGTCTTGGAGACTTTCTCTGAGTACGTGTAACCTTATTCTCTCAATTTCTCTTATATACTTCAACATTTTGTGTACCGATCTTCCATCCCTTGTATCCATCGTTCAGTTCCAACCTAATGGGCTCAGTTTATGTATTTATTTGCCATAGTAGCCCTTATGAGACGTATATGTATTCAATACTCCAATCATACGCTGAAAATTGTATAGTCGGTATTGCAGTGTTTATTTTAAACGGTTATTCGAAAAAATGCCATAAGTAATACTTATTGAATGGTAACTTGATTTACTTTCTTCAATCAACTTGCAACATAGAAAGATGTCAGACAATAAACCAATGGAAATGGAAAGGAAGTGGTGAAGTGCATAAATGTGGGTCAAAGCTAGCTTTTCCGTTTCCAATATTAACATCTTATTTCAGTCATCTACTTCCCATGCGTGCATTTTGGGAACATGCCGCACTGGCGTCATACACAGAAGTAAATTTCGTGGTCTGGTATTATCCCTACCCAGATCTCGAGGATTGACTTCCTACATGGAATGGGCCAAAGGTCTAGTGAAGTATCCGTGGGCTCAACGCTAACATGCTGTTTCATCAGATTGCCTCTTACCCTTGCACACGGATTTCGAGATACAATTCGACATGTAGAGGCTCTTTATGTTGCAGCCGAGCGTGGATAGAGCAACAGAGATTTAATGAACGTAATTGGTTGCTGTGCTGACAAGAATACGTTCCCTGCTTGATACCAGCAAAAGGCCCAATATTTACTTTAAGACCATGGTGACCTGCTGTTTTAGTAAATGGGATTCCATCCATATGTCGTCTGACCAAGACCAACTCTGGGCTTTATTACAATCGTTTTCCATTTGTTCAAAGTAGCAAATAATTATTGTGTTTATTAAAAGTCAAATTTCATTTATTCTTGGTGATCAAGTGTTTGTATGTATTTCCTTAATGTATGAGTTGGATGTGGTTGTATATCGCGGCAGGTATCGGTAGTGGCAACCTTTTGTGTGTAAAGTAGATGTTAGTGATGTCTCTATACGCAAATAGGGAGAGTTTACACAAAGCAAATCCTCAAATGTATTTGCGAACTGCGATTTTTTGTTCTTTCCGTTTCTTCCCGGTTTGATGTAAATGGATTTTTGCACTCGGGTTTGCTTTTTTATAATTTCGTGATTGATTTGAATCCATCTTTTGCAATGTGATAAATTATTGCTGTACCGTGCCGTGTTACACATGAAGTGAACTTGCTCTTGGCGTGCACGTCATTACTCTATTCACACGGAACCGTTCATCTCATGGCAGTGGACAAATTTAAGCGACTCAAGTGTAAAGGGTTTGTACATTCACATGGAATTTGCATATAATATCAATTAAATTAAACGTAAACGTGCATTACTAGCCCAGATCTCTCTTTCTCTTTAAGGGTCGGAAAGGGCATCTTGGGTTTGTTTGTGGTAACTGTATGCTCCCTGGCAGTACGTATCTACGTAGTTCATTCGTCTTCTTTAACTGTGCCAGCACTATACCATGAACAACCAAATAAAAGGTAAGTTTTCTTTTTCAAAAATGTTGCTATATTTTAAACATACTGTGCGATAGATGTATATCATGAATTTATTAGTACAATAAGTTGCTATGGAAAATGCCAAAGGAGATGTTTCAAATTCTGACTGTCTCAATATGGTTGTGGAATGCGTATTGTTAGCTGCTGTAACTTTAAGTAGCCCCAACAGTCCCAAATACATGTACTCTGATTTCAAGAAACCCTATGGGGTTAGGGTTAATTAATACCAAAGACAGTTAAGCCATTCTTATTGTTGGAGGGCCCGTTACTTGGCCGGTCTCAAACAATTGATACATAAAACACCCACTGGTTGTGCGCCACCTCACACAGGACGCGCCTTGCGCGCGTCAGTCTCCACAGTGCGACTGCTCGCGAGACGAACATAGCGTAACACGGCTAGAGGAATGTTTGAGAAAATGGTAAAAAAATCGCTTGAAATTTGTGATGTTCAAACATGTTGTAGTCTGACTCAAGAGGTATTTATGAATGGGAATAGATACGTGTTTTACCGGTATTTGACGTTCCTTTAAGACCGGCTCAAGGGAATGGACGCTGACCCCAAACATTTGAGACCAGCCAAAAACATAGTTATTCACTGCTTTACGATGCCAGTGAATTATATAAATTACCTGTCGTTTTTTCTTTCAGCGTGAATACTCAGAGAACCAACATTTTGCAGAGATTTCTACACAGTGCTTTAGACTTTTCATCTAGAAGTAATGAAGAATCTGCCTTGAATGAAAATAGAACGCTTTCACGCATTGAAAGGTTTTCAAGAAGTAAACCTAACAGCTCTTACGGAGAAGCGTTATATAATAATATACTACAAAGAGCAAGACATAAAAGCACACATTGGCATTTGGATGAAAAGGAGTTTGTTCGAGACAGTCAGTTTTTAAATTATTTGGTAAGTAAACACTATAGTTACTTTTATTTACGTTTCCCCCCTTTCTTTTGTGATACACATGAACTTTTCTCACCCAGAGAAAGAAAAACACAAGGGTGAGATTTGTCAGGATTTTATGGTTTTTCATCAGGATTTTCCTGATCTCAGGATTTTTGAAACGAGCTCTTTTAATTGACACCTTGGAAGTCCTCAGTTTACTTTCAATTTTTTTGCAGATAAAAAGTGACGTACAACACAAGGAAGTTATATTTAGGGGTGGCAAACACAGGCAAACCCAAATGTATACCATAGACCCACACTGCTGTTGGGCTCTTAAAACCTCTGGTGATCATTTTGTGGATATTCTGTTTTACTAAAATCTCACCCCTGAAATCAGAAAAAGAAAGAAAAAAAAAGACACAGCATTTTTAGTCATAGAGGATGGAGAAGTCGTGCATAATGACTATTGGTGTTCGCATGTATAACTGTTGTACTGCTTCCGAATTACTGGGCTCCGATTCGACTGTGTCATTCTTTCATGTGAAGCAAGCGCAAGTGTTATTGCTTTAAAATCGGTAGGCAGGAAATTCGTAAGATGCTTTACTGTTTTTTTTTCTCATTTTACATTACAATAAAGACGAGTATTGTGATTTCAATGAATTCAGGATCTTGAATTTTTACACACTTAAGAACTAGTCTTACAGGAAAGTGTAAGAATACGATGGACACGAATATCGAACACTTTGCTGATTAACAGTACCTAATATGTACAAAAATGAAGAGTAACGAGGTTTCCCTCTATCTTACCAGAGTTCATCTTGAAGGTACAACGAGAAACAATACTAAATAAGGATTATCATTTCAGTTGAATCTTGTTTCCTTGCTTGCAGTTTTGTATGTAATTACCACACGAACTGTTGCTGCTACTGCTTGTACTAAATGCCAAATGAAAGTGCGGTAATGTCTAAAAGTAATTAGGCAAATCCATTTTGAGGTAAAACCTGACAGGAGCCTGGATACACTTTTAACGCCTGTACGAAAAGTAGGCAACATTAGAAAAGTCTTAAGCAACTCGAGTAGATTGGGCTGTAGTTAAAAAGTGAACATTGGTCTCGGTTGCAGATTGAAATCTTCATGATTCGTTTAACATTCTGTTAAGCGAGCCATACCTGTTATTAGCATTTGATTGATCATTCAAGTCGTGAATTGAAGACTTGCCAGACGTGCTAATGCATCGTTAATTCTATGGCCAATTTACAAGAAACGATCCGTTGTGCATCAAGAAATATTCAGTCAAGTATTAATGCGAGGGTCGTGTTTTATTCGGAATTTCTTTTAATGTCTAACATTTATTAGTCCCGACAGCGCTCTCCTGTTGGGTCGAATATTTATTGTAGAGAAAGCAAAATGATTGGAAAATGTCAACACGCTTGAGGTTTTTTTTTAATGTAACTAAAGTATTTTGGCATATGTAAATCTACTGACAAACACTGTCTTTATCCGTTGCTGAGGAAGAAGTTGGTCAAGATTGTGGTTGTCTTCTAGATTATTAAAATTAACTGCACATATTTCAAGAATGTTTTCAAAATAAATATTCTGCACAAACAATGCACAAATCATTCTTGGATACTTTTTTCTTTAATTAAATATAGAGATGTCCAACGACAGTACGAAAGAAAATGCTGCAAGAGACATTGTCTAACCAAAAGTTTTTGCCTGAAGTACCAATACTTCTGTTCGACGAACATTTTAGCCATAACGAGTACCAGAGGTTGTCGAAGTTTAAAGGAATCAACGGCTGGGAAGACATGGATGAAAAAGGTGGGGCCTTTTCTTCTTTCGTGTGAGTCTTCTCGTAACGATTGTTTGAGACAATGCAATAACAAAAGATATAAACACTAGAAGCCATATAACCCGTCTGCATTTTATGACTGACTGGCACACTTACAACCCCCCGATAACTGCTTTGGGATAACTGCTTCTCTTGTAATATCTCACGCTGCATGCATGATCCTCTATGGTATTACATTCACCTCTGACTGACTTCCCTAAACAACGAGGAGACTGAAAAACAAACTGTTCGTTAAATGTTGAGCTTGCACAAAGTAACTACGGAGGCTGCGAAAAGAAAGGAATTATGATAGTTTATTTATGTTGTCAAGTGCAAGCGAAACACCTCTTATTTTTGTCTGCGAATATTTACTCTCGCGTCATTGGAAGAAATTTACGTAGTTGAATGAATTTTACAAGTGTGGGACTGCCATTTTTTCCCCTAATTTAAGATTTTTTAAACAATTGGGAAAGTGCTGAGATCTAAATTAAGGTGTTTTGGGTGATAAAAGTTGACACACAACGCAAGAAATTGTTATTTTGTGGGTGTCTTTAAGCAGGCATTTCATTTTTCTTCAATCTCATCCTTGATTCTAGTCAAAATTAAGAGTGAACTCCAAACTGTGTAGTGACTCTTGAAAGAAGAGATTCTGTATTACAAGAATCGGGATAGAACCGGCAAACACTGTTCCAATATTTTAGGTGTATGTTGTCCTTGTTAATCAGATCCAAAGAGGGTGCATAAATAACCCAGTATTAATCTTTTGGCCTGTAAATTTGTTTTACAGAAATCTCAGAGGCATTAAAAGCTCTCAACATGCCCAACAACAGGTACATGTTTGACGATCGCTTTGTCGATGGCTTTATCCCCAAGGACATAGGATGTGCACGATGTGCTGTCATCGGCAATGGCGGTATGATGAACGGATCAAATAAAGGAAAAGAGATTGATGCACATGACTACGTCTTCAGGTAGTGCAATTAGTTTACTCAGTCAACCATTGCTTTCCTCATTGCAGTGTGTTTAATTTGTTTGACCTTGTCTCACAGACCGTCGTCTCACTTCATGCAAAGCTTGATTTCTAATGGCTTTATAATTAGAAGTAAACTAGATAGGTTTTCACCACGGGTATATCCACCAGAGATATATCCATGGTTGTACCGCAAACCTATCTAGTTTACTTGCTACCTCCACCATGAAAAGCTTTAAATTTCATCTTGATAAATATAATGAGGGAAAATGATAAAAATTCATATTTCCGATGTAATATTTGTTGTTTGGCAACAAAATTGGTGGATCTACCACTCTCGGACTCCCGGCATTCACGATGTTGATTGTTATATGATAAGTTTGAAGCAAAAAGTAAACGAAAACAATTAAAATGAACAGCCAGGAAAAAGAGAAGAACTTCCCCCTAGTGTCCTATATTGGTCACGGAAACATACATAAATAGTTTGTTGTAGTCGGGTATTTCATCAAAATCAAAATAAAAGTTAATGATATTTCGAATGAAATTCTTATCTTTTTCATCCACAAGTTTAATACAGGTGCCACATTTGTACAACTGGTCAAGATTCATTTCCCATTTGTCTTTTTTTCCTTGACTTTTTGGCCTCTGACTGTTTGCTACTTAATTTCACTTTCGATGCTAGAGGTCAGCGATTTTAACAAAATGTTTTTTCTTAAGCTCAGTTAAAGCACATCGATACTTTGTTTATCTCTAAACAGCACTGACAAAAACTAATGGAAAGACCTCAGCACGTCTCGTTTGTATTCTCAAGTACTGTCAATACCCCCCGTCTCAAAAATATGTACGTTCTCATAATTATAGAGCAGATCCAGCCATCATGTGTTAGCCATGTACAATTACATCAAAGCTACCGAAGGGTTACACAGTGAAGGAGTATACTGGTTGACAATTCGTCTTGGCTGGTATTCTACTTGTAAAGTGCTCTCATTTCTTTTCTATGAATTCCACCAACCCGAGCATGACCTCAGGGTTCAGACATATAGCCACCGGAATCAGACTATTGCGTTTAATACCCATAGTACAGCTAGATGTGCATGTACATTGGGCTGAGAAGCATAACGTAGCTCTGTTGGTGAACAGTGGGAGGGTAGTATAGTACACGGTGAAGCCATTGAACATGGATGGAATCTGAAAAACAATGACGATAAAACCCATTTGACTTCTCCCAACAAAAATATTGGTAAACAGTTTCAGGAAGATGTTTGTCTGGAAATGAGAACCACGGTTCTATACATGTAAAACAACATAACAGATACTATTGGCTGTAGTATATTCAAGTCACATTAAAGTACTTTCGGACAAATACTTACATGAACGTGTAGTAAAACTGTCGGAACTTCGTAACCTTTTGCTGGCAGCCACTGACTCAGGAATTCAAGAGGTTTACTCGTGTTACAGACAAGGATTGTATTTAAAGTAAATGATTTTGATATACGCAGTCTGGTGGATTAATACTACCTAGGTGATTTGTCGACTTGTCAGGAGACGCAGATTTGTTTTTCTTCAGTAGAAGCATTGTCAAAATGACTTTATTCAAACAGATAGAAGAATTATTTTTCTATTTTGAACAAAGTGGGAAGCAAGTAAAACGATAATGCTAAATTATAATTGGTTTAGTCTTTCCTGCCGTGTAAAACCAAATGAAAGAAAGACAAAAGCTGTAAAACCTGGGGTGTCAAATTTAACACCCTGGTGTTATCAGAAGACTACACCAACACTTTTCACTGGTGTTAAAATTTTGGTGTTATTTGGTGCTACTGTAAACACCCTCTTGTGCATTGTAGCACTTACAGGTTTGCAAAATAACGCCAGCGGTGTTAAAGTAACAACCCATGATGTGCTCATCTGATAACACCCAAAATTGTTGATATCAACACCAAAGTTTTTGCAGTGTGTAAATTTATCAGCTATGAAGTACAAAATTCAAAATTAATTTTGAAAGTCATGACTTTTAGATAGTTGACAAACGTGGTAAAGGTCATTGCGTTCAACACATGAAACAGTATTGCAGACTCTGTTTATATTATGACTTGTACATGTATGTGCGGACTACATATGTTAATACAGTTATCATTGGGTCCTGAAGGAAACGCGCAAAGGTTGCATGAGAAGAGACCGTGAGAAAAATGAGAATACTTTACTAGTCCATCGTAACAGTTTAAAATCATAACCTGTTTATGTTTATGTGTCTGATGTAGTTGGTTTGACGTGGTTAAGAAATTAATGTAAGCGTCACTTTTTACACAGAAGAGCAACGAAACTATTTAATACATTGAAGTTACTGGCTTTGTGAGTTGGGACTTGTGCCAAAATGGCATCTGGAAATAGTGTTTGCATATTAACGCTGTATATTCAGATCCATTGAGTAGTAGAGCTTGATAGTTTTCCTTTTCAACAAATCCATGTCCTAACAGAAATCTGTCATTAAATCTAGTCATCTCAAGGGTATGATATTTCAGGGTATTCCGATATTTTTGCACCTGCACTGATACTAAATTGTATTTTTCATTTCAAGATGCAAGATAGGCCTACATGCATATTTTGTACCATTCATTCCATGTGTGTTTACAATTTTATCTGCTAATAGTTTTATGGAAACTCTGATTTGCTTTCCATTTGGACCACCTTTTTTTCTCAGGGTGAATGTCGCGCTAACTAAAGGCTATGAACGTGACCTTGGAACGAAAACGTCATTTTATTGCTTTACCATGGTAACTCTCTCAAACTCTCTACGAGGTGGCGCTCGATTGGGCTTCAGAGAACCACCCTATGGAAAGGTACAGCGACTGAGGAGATTTCTCTGTGTTGAGAGACGTGCGATTGTGAAGTCATTTGAAAAATCTGACTTAAATTGTAATGTGCTTATTCAGATGCGTAAAAACGTTAACGCTGTAAACCTTTTCATATGTATTGTTCGTGGTAAAATATTCTCAAAACTTGTTTAAGCGGCCTAAATTGTCATGTTTATACGAATAAAATTAATAGTTATACAGTTTTAGAGTTAACAATATGAATCGTTCATTTGACAGTCACAAAACTTCACGTAATTACCCTGAAACAGGCCACACAGTGTTTTTCCCGAGAAATCTCGTTTTTAGTCTTTATCTTACTTTGTTCAGATTTGTCGATATTTGCGCGAACTGTGCTATTGAAATTCATGACCATTTTCAATTCTAATTCCTTTGTTTTAGGGAATTCGGTATGTGTTTTTTGCTGACAATGATTGGACCTACAGTTATCTGAATGCTGTATTGAATGACAGACCTCCTCCTCATAGTGCTGACAAATACAGAAGGTAACAAAATATGCAACTTCTTTATAAGATAAAAGATGTTCGAAGTCGCCCAGTTGAAGAACACTGCATGTTTCCAGTTATGCATCTCAGTTTTCAAATGTAGTTTTCACGAATAGTCCTTTCCAAGATGTATTTTTGCGTTGGGGAGATGTTAATTATATATAACGGGTTTGCCCTTACCCAACGTATATTAATAAGCACTGCATGCTCAGTGCTTGTCCGAGTTTACTCGGGTGGGTTCGAGTCCCACCCGAGTAAGCTTGTGAGGTTTTTTGCAAGCTCTTCGGACAAGCACTGAGCATGCAGTGCTTATTAATATACGTTGGGTGAGGGCAAACTCGTTATATATAATGAATAGTCCTTTGTGAACACCTCCGAGAAAGACCATCCCCATTCAATGAATTTACCCTTACCTTGTGTGTTGTAATAGACTCGATGTTGTGTGATAGAGAAAAGGCAATTTTGTAATCTAAAGATTCATAATAGTACGCTAATTTATTCAGGCTTCTATGCCTTTTACCCCCAGTGCCTTTTTACAATTTATTTTAAAATCTGTATTTTAGACCGCCACCCAATTTCGTGAAGAAATTGCATGCAGAAGACGTTAAACTTGTACATCCAGACTTTCAGAGATATCTTAAATGGAGGTACGTTAAGGATTTTAATTTTGCTTAGTCTATCAATGAGTTGAAGCTAATTGTTGGTCTATCACAGATTTATCTGACTGTCACTGTTTACTTGTATACTCACAAGTTCACTTAATGGAGAACAATGGAATAGGGTCTATGACCCAGTTGTTTCACTTTTTAAACGAAAAACAATCCATTGTCCTTATCTTCAAAGGAATGTTGCTCTTTCAATTTTTGTACGTTTGATATACGGCTGTCGATTTATATTTTCTGGGGCACATAGAATATGGTGTTTGGAAATATTTCCCCCTAAATCTGTTCCCCGCCACATTTCCAAAGCATTCATCAGTGATATTCTAATGTCACTGATAATAATGTTATATTTCTAATCAAACCACGTATCTTTATTCATTTATATCTTCAAAATTAAATGATCGAAATGTTAAATAGGAAAAACACTGCATTGTATGCAGCATATTGCAATAATATGGTATCTTGTCTGGTAATGGGATTTTCCAGAGAGGTCACCGATTTTGATGATTTGATCGAAATGTTAAATAGGAAAAACACTGCATTGTATGCAGCATATTGCAATAATATGGTATCTTGTCTGGTAATGGGATTTTCCAGAGAGGTCACCGATTTTGATGATTAATTCTCAGTGTTTATAATTTTCCAGAGGGCGTGGTATTAAGGAGTGAATACCTCTGAATGTGAATTTTAAATTCGTTCTCCCATTGTTTCTGTTGAACTGTTATTTGGTGGCCTCTAACTAGAGAACTGTTACAGCATTTTCGACACATGCAGAATTTCAGACATACACATGTTCTGTCGCTGGCATTTTTTATGCACAAGCGTCAGACCTTCATTATCTTTCCTATAGAATAGCGATACATTTTCTGAGGGCACGCCTTAAGTTACACACTCCTAAATGCTTGAAGTAATAATGAAATAAACGCCCTTATCGTTGAACAAAATGGAGTGTATACATATTCTACTGACAACAAATTCTCAGTGCTTTTTTAAGAAGTGCTTATGCTGACGACCAATGTATTATAAATTTTATCTATGGTACTATAATGGTGTGTGCAATTTTTTGTCCTGTGATGCACAATATGGGGCCGAGGGGGACCCTTGTTTGTGTCTTTTTGTTTTTTTTTGTAGATTGAAGGGGGGATGTAGTAGGTGCAGTGGCCGAGGGTATATAACATATGTATCACATAGGGGGTTCTCCCTTGCCACATACACGTATCGTGATCGGTATCCAATTTTTAAAAGAACTGTGAAAAAGACTTCCGTGCAAGACACATCGTTAATGTGAATGAACCTTTTAAATTTGTAGTTGGGTGAACTCTACAGCACAGCACAAGTTAGTCCATAGACCGACCACTGGCGCTATTATGTTACTGCTTGCTCTACACACGTGTGATGAGGTAGGATTAACTTACTATCAGTTTCAATACTCCCCTGCCAGAGGGTTTCTGACCGAGCACAAATTTCCCACATACAGGTATATTCTTCGTTACGAATATGACAGGGCAGACGGTTATGGCTTATTGAAGAACAGAACCATGTAATTAACGCAGGGCGGACACAATTAGAGGTAAATTTGGAATAAACGCAAATATCCAAATAGTGCCCTCCTAATTGTGTCTGCCTTTCCGCAAAAAGGGTAATGAAACGGCAAGTAGATTATAAGAATAAAAAAAAAATAACAAAACAAAAATCGAACTGCGTGGAGATATACTAGGAAGCCGATTGGGTCGATAATTGAAACTAAAAATTGAAAGGGCCCATGCCATGCACGTTTCTTTGATTCAAAGGTTGTGCAACTTTCTATTGCTGTTAAGTGTATGCAAATGTTTAAAATATTTCCCGTTTATTTTTGTTTGTGAAAATGCCTGCTTTCAAAAGTTTAAATAGGTAAGGAAAAAGTTTCAAACATTGCGACATCTCGGATTTGGGAGGTAGATAGGACACCCAGAAACCAGTATAAAATGAAAATCAACTCGAGACGAATAAGATGCACTTTCTGTCCACAACCAACTGGGCTGATTTCGGAAACACGCGAGGTATGAAAATACATGTTATTACTGGCATCGTTGCGGCCGAAATGCATTAAAACGACTACTTTTTATAAGTTTTGGTAGAAAATGCACAATATTATGCATTAATCTCTAAGATGCGTAAACGGAAAATCTTACTTTTAGCTGGTCTTAATAATTGTGAGACTTGTTCCGAAATGAAGGAGAATTGGTTGAAGATGAAGTGGAACCTAACTGGTGTGTGAGAATGCACTCGCGTTCACGTGCAGTGGCAAGAGACTTGCGGAGAATAACGCGGTCAGTATAGGAGTATACTGACCTGAATTTTAGGCTGAAGCGTGGGCTACCTTATGTGTGTACATTTGGAGCTTCTAGAAAAAAAGATAGCAGCCGAAGTGCGTGCTTGTTTGCCGAGTCTACATTTTTTTAGTGTGTCAAAGAAAACGTGATAACACGTATCGGATTCTTCTCGTGAAAGTGAGTGGATTCAATTCCTATTAAAGTTACTATAATTTACTCGTCGATCGAGAACGACGGCACGGAACCAGTGTTGCGGGGCTATTGTGGTGGTCTCCAAAAAACCTGGCGGTTGTCCAGCAGCACAGTACCGTACACCGGCAGTTGCGACAAAACAAAAGCAGTTGGAGAGGCTTATGCCTCGTATTTCTCCATTCTAAGTGCTTTTGCAGACACTGGATATTTGCCGTTTTAGTGCTACATTTAAAGGATAAATAACACGGTGAGTGATGCTATATCACCCATCAAAACATTGTTCATGACATTTTGTTGTTTTTCACATCTTAAGGTCAATGTATATGGTTTTGGTGGGAGCTACTCCAAGTTTTCTGAGCACTACTACGACAAGAAATTTCAGAAACATGTATTTTTTGCCAATCATGACAACAACGCAGAAAATGCCCTGTGGCGACGTCTGCATGAACTCGGCATCATCAATCTGTACATAAGAAACTGAGATGACTGTGTGACTTCTGACCAGTTTTACTCGTGGAAAACTTCTGCGAGAAAACGTCCGAGGATTTTTTTCAACATGCTTATGTTGTATTTCTGAACTTCGAGGAACTGGCAAAAAATCACTCAGAATATTTTGAGGTATCAAGTGTTTTGGAAATGTGCTTATCTCCGTCCGCATAAATACCAGTTGTTCTTGTTCTTGAAGATCCAACTGGATATCAGACGAAAAGGGGCTACAATTTTGCCAAGACTCCTTCCCTCCTGTTGACCTATGAGAGACAAATTGGTTATTCCAGATTACTTAATTCTCACTCATTTTGCAGAGAAAATTCTCTGTATGCATGTGCATCATTTTCGTGTAGGCCTATAATGTTTTCCCATTTTACTGAATTTGGATGGTACTCACTGTTACAGCGCCCTCTTTCACTAATTATTTTTAGCAGTACTAAAATATAAACACTCTGTCAAAGGAGACAACCAGTACTGAAAGTGAACAGCGTCATCAACATAGGTTTTCCCGTCTAATTTCACGCTTCTTTCAATTTAAATTACTTCAAAGAAAGTTTTATTTCCTCCTTTTCTTTGCCATTTTTTCTCACTCCGGGAATGGCGTTGAATTGGAAAAGCAAATTCGATTTTTGTCATTCATTTCACCGATTTAATCGTCTACTTTCGTCATTGATATAAATCTGTGTACAAAGCTTTTGCCTTTATTCTACTTAACAAGAGAATGTCAGATATGTTGAGTTGTGTAATGATTGCGAAATGTTTTGCCTTATTTATTTGAATGAATGACTTTTAAAACACAAACTTGCTTTTGTTATTCGGCGCCATTCCTGAAATTAAACGAAAATTACGATAAGTAGGACGAATGCGAATGTTTTGTCAAGAAATTCAATGTTCTAAAGGTGACATCTAGTGGTGTTGTTTCCAAATTGGAATCAACATTTTGGGTGAGTGAGCCCTCTTTGACGAAATTGAAATTACCTTTAAGCATTTTTAAATGGAAGAAGTGCGGAATTAACTGGAAAAACCTGTAATAAATGTAAAAACAATGAAAATTATATTAAAAGCCGTCGTACCCTAGGACAACTGAAAGAGTATATTTGTTGGAATGTGAACTTGGCTTAACGTTTGTAAAATGACTCCATAGTACATTTCCTTCATCATTGAGAAGAAAGTACTATACATCTGTAACCAAAGCTAGCCTCTGGTTAGAAGTTGATATTTTCTGTAAAAGAACAGGATATGGAGTGCAACGGCTGTTTTTATTTGTAATCGTTCAGTTATCAAAGTGAGTGTAGCGATTTTTTTACTTTGATTGATAACAAGTGCGTTTCAAAGTTCCTGTATAAAGCAGTGCCTTTTCTTCCGATTGCCAAAATCAAAACCTATCACACTTGTAAATAACATAGCAGTTTTAATAATTAATGTGTATGTCATAAATGGGATGAGTAACTTAAATACGGAACGTTTTTGTTAGCTCAAGTGTTTTTGGTCCTGCAAAACCAAATTTAGCTGTTGACAGGAATGTAGGCTACTTTTCTATTCCTGTGGGGTGAAGTTAAAAAAATCAAGTTAGTTTTTTAAAATTATTTTCAAAAAGCTTATACGGATACTCCCTTGGGACACAATGTAGAAGAAAACGATCTATTGTTTCTCGTTCCTTGATGCAAAGTAATTTTATCGGCTACAAGGAATTACCAGTGCTAGAGTCTATATCAAAACTTGCTCACGAGTGGACAGCGGATCCCTTACATGCTGCGGCTGACTGGAATGTTTCTGTGGGATTTTGAACGTGTGCAGATTTAATAGTTAAACTAGTAGGGAAAATTAGATTTTCTTTCTAAAAGAAAAACTGATTAAGCTCGTCCATTGTGCTCCAATGGGTTTATATTCAAGAGACTGGAGTGAGGAAACTTGTTTTGCAATTATTATGTTGTAAACATGTACTAGCTTTTTTTTTGAAAATTGCAATTGTGAGTTGAATTCCACAGAAAGTGCACTATACGCAAAATACGAGGCGATATAGTTAAGTTGTATATTAATGTTTCAAATGAATCTATGTTGGTGCATGTAACAGTTCATATTGTGATTGAATTAAGTCTTCCATCAAATGGATTTGTTTAATACTGACAAATTGGATGTTTTAAAATATGTATTTTAAATATAAGTTTGAATGTTGCATTGTCTTTGTTGAACTGTGGGTTTTAATACCAGTTTGGATTTAAATGGTTTTTATTTTCTGTTTTTGTTTGGAAGTACACGTATTTTTCAGTGCTAGTACATTTAAATGTAAATTTTACATAACTTTGGAATAAGGGCGGGGGATGCAAAGACAGATAAATTACTGGGGAGTTATTCACCACTGCAATGCTTCTGTGTGCTCGAAATTTGGAAGCGGAGGTTGTAGACTGTCCAACATAATTTGTGCAAATCATAGTTACATGACACATTGTTTTCGTCTGAAGTAGAAAATGATGAAGACATTTGGAATTAGTTTTAAATTCTGAAAGATCTGTGCGGTAGCACCGGCCGAACTTTTTTTACAGGCCCAAGTGTCATACTTTTTAAAATTTAGTCTTTATTATTTTTTTCAAAGTATTTGTTACCCAACTTTCATCTCGTTTATATTTTATAGAAATAAGTCAAATTGACGTATTTCTACATCGAATTGGGTGGCCACACGCATAACCCTTCATCTGGTCTGAATTATAAAGCTATTTAATGTCATTGTGCAATACTTCGTGCTAAATTTACAGTATTACACCAAAGGTTTTATTCCAGCCATGTAAGCGTGTGGAACTGTAATATAAATTTATGGCATCCCAGGCCTGTCGTTTTCAGGATGCATTGTCCGTACTTTTTGTGTTTTCCTGAGCGAATTTTGAAGCAAACATGATGTCTTGTAAAAACAGAGTTGCGCCAATGTTATTGCGGGCCTTTATGCAGTCTAACATCATGTGATTTCTGGCCATGCTGGGGACAAACTCCCATTTCAAAGAATTAAAAAGTGTTCTTTACTATAAACGACTCGCAGCAAAGTCGGTTATAGACCGTATTCATGAGTCGGCCATCTTGAATTGAAACTGTGATAAAACTACATTTTGGGAACATGAGAGTTAAAATAAAATCAACAAAATGAAAGTTGAAATCAAATTCGTGCCAGTGTTTGTTAAGAATAATTTAAATCTATGACTGGTTATATCTTAATGTTTTCAGCAACATTACAGAAAGTGAGGTTTGGAACCCAAAATAATCATGCACAATCTCTTTAGCAGATTACATTGGAGTTGATAAGTTCAGGACACAAGAAATAAATTTGAATGAACGGTTTGCTGCGATCTACACTGTATAGATCTATTCATACCTTTAAACCACTTAGTTGCCTCGTCCCAAACTAGCGGATTATCGACCATCTAGTTAACGACTTGAAGAATTTGTTTTCAGTTTTGTACACGAAATATGGGAATTTCTTCCAAATTTTAGAGGAGCACTCTGGTCTAGATTCTAAAGGGGATACCATTATGCACGAGTTTCGGGCGCTCTCGAGGCACATGCATGGTTTGGCCTTCGCTCGTCGCCCAGCGCCCAGGGAAGGGCTGATGGCTTTTGCGCTGTGATTGGTTACAGTGTGCACGACCTCCGACCGCGAGGAAATCACCTCCTGTTAGCGACGCATTATTTAAACTTTAGTTAGCCAATGGTAATGCTCAGGCTCAGGCGAGTGTCGGCTTTGAAGAAAAAAATGGCCTTGGGACAATCACGGTATTTTATCCTCTTACCAAATATCATGTGTTATTGGGCAACATTTCAAACCATTTGTTATCTTGATAAGTTTTGGACGAAAGTGTACTAAGGAGATCTTCACCAATGAGGCTGGCAGAAACTTACCCACGATGATCTGCTTATCGTTAGCTGTTACCGCGTGTGACGTATTTCCTTCAGTAAAATATGCGCAAGGCCATCAGCCTTTCCCAGCGCTCTGTTCGCGCGCAGGGCGAGTAGCCGGCGTAGGAGAGTTCTGGGGCCCCAGCTCTCCGAGGCCCAACCCCGGGGAATAGATCGCAAAAGGGGCCAGATTTTCCCCAACCAATAATTCTGAAAAATTTCCACAAGGTTGCTCTAGAAGTAAATGGGTTTAACTTTTGCCATTAAATTTGAATATGCTAAACTAGTCGCGACTTATGCGGCGTGGTTAACTGTAAACGGTTACGAAACGAAACGTTATTTATTTAATCGAGCAAGCGAAACTGGACGTACAGAGACAAAGGCATCACATTTGCTTGGTGAGACAAACAAAAAACGGAACTAAAGTTTATAAAGCGAAGCAAATATTTATTCCCAGGGATTTGAAATGGAAACAGACATATAAAACAAAGATGTCAAACCATAAGACACGATTGAATCTAATAACGTGGTAGATGCAGTCGGCTGTTCCCACTGTTTAAATTCTGATGCTTTATTCGAATGCATCGACTGCAACGAATGCCACAATTATCACAAATGTCACAACTGTAGGAAATGTACCCAGTGTTCGACTTGCGACGAATGTGGTGAATGTATAAATTGCGTATTTTGTTTTGATTCTTACGGCTGTGAATAGTCAAGCGTCTTAGACAGCTGTGACGCGTGTTTCGTTTGCTATAATTGCATGGAATGTTTTGGCTGTGTCAATTCTGTTTGCTGCGTTAATTGCATTGAATTAAAAGGAATGGATCGCGTGGTATTTGTAGATGGGAGGCACAAAAGAATCAGACATAAAGAAGCAGACGACTAACCGCCTAATGCCGAATCTAAACTGGATTCCGATTAATGTGATATTTGGTTAATAATTGAATATGACGTTGACATAGAAGATTTAAATAGAGTAGATAGTCAACATGAAACTTTAATAGAAGCAGCCGATCAACTGTCAAGAGTAACTTTCAAGAAAAACGGAAAAAATTCCAACTAAAATACAAAATCAGAACCATGTCAACCCAAATTTACATCGTAACAGACGACCACGAGCAACTCAGTGCCAATAACAGCGATCCCAATGTTGTATGCGGTCCTTTTGATTCCAGCTAACTGATTATTTCAAACCCCGTGATAAAAGAAGGCACTTATGTATCCCGATGCTATTCTTCCATTTATTATAATTACGGCTGTCAAGAAAAACGTCTTTGCAGAAAATGCTAATTAAATTATAAATGAGTCTACAAATGCGAAACTATTGCCCAAAAATGTGATGTTAAATATATTTATAATTCCACCAACACTGCACTGCGCAAACAAACTACGAAAAATTAGGTTTGGTCATTTGCCCACGAAATAAATTAAATGTACGCAATACGTCGCGATTGCAAAAATGGCAATTGTGTAAAAGTAATAGCGTGTATTATCAACAATTGCCAACGCGTTTGGGTGATGAGGGCATTACGACTCGGTTAGTTTGGACTAATTGCGATATGTGATTTAAATTTAGTATTATAAAACAAATATGCCGAATTATATAGAAAACATACATTTTATTTGACTAAAAATCCACAGACGTTTAATTTGAAACATGAGATCAATAACACAAAAGCCGACAGAGCCGTTAGAGTAAATAATCTACAGTTTAAAGCTGGATATTTCAACGTGGCAAACGGTACTGAAATCGAGTGGGATACAAACTTGGACTGTAGACCCGCTGGGGTCAGTGGTGAAAGACTGCCTGGAATACCTTTAGAGGAAAGAAGGGAAGTATCCCCAAATTCAGAATAAGTAAAAAGATTAAAAATAGACTGTTACAAGCAAACGAAGAACTTGGGACTTTAGCAGCAGAAATTAGAATCATCGCTAAGGAAATTGAAGAGCTCAATCAATAAGTAAAATATTTAGAAGCGCAGTTAAAGACTACCATTAGACACGCAAACTCGTTTAAATTTTGAAATCAACGAAAAAAACCCCGAATCAGCGTCATTGTATGAGGGGCAGAGACAAGCCTTAGAAGAGATTTACGAGAGTAACCCTCTAACTAACCCTGCGAGAGACCGAAACCAACCCAGAAGAGACCTAACCATGACATGGGTAAAAGACTTTTTCTCACGGGGTTAAAAGAACCTATATACGATGGGCTTCATTCTCAAGGCTCGTTTCAAGCGTTACTCTAATGCGAAAGAGGAAGTATCGTGGTGTCTCCCAGTTACTACAGCATGGACTGGTTTGACTTGAGTTAATAAACTCGATCCCGGGCGTATCTTTCAAAGTTCACTCAGAGTCTTAGAGGGTTTAACGTTGGCCATTATATACTCCAACTTCAAGTTGAGGCTAAATAAAGAAGTGTCTAAGATATTAAACTTACCTAAAGTAAAACTTTTACCCGGCGTCATTTATGAAGGTAAATATGACTTAAACCCCTTAAAACTCGCGTTTATTCATTGCAAACAGCTAAATACCCACGACAACTTTTACAATGGACAGTCTTCAGATTTGCTAGACGTGATAGCTACCGAGCCTCGCAACTCAACACCTGAGGTGTGTAAAACACCTAAAAAGTTAATAGACAGAAACATGAGCGAGTTGACCTTTTCAACAACAAAGGCGCTGGAATTTTAATCAAACTAAACATTTTTTTAAACGCTATATAATAAAAAAGATGACAACACACGACCACTCAAATATGTATCCAGACTTGAGTGGGTACCAAGCCGAAGCAAACGCGACAAAATTTACCGCCTTCAAAAGATCGAAGACATCCGCAGATAAATCTTACGAGAACGAGACACCTGAGAAACGTCTAACAAAAAGATCAAACGACTATTAACCGTGCTAGATTACGTGGAATACGGAGTGGAAGAGATAGGCGCCACATCTGCCGCCATAGGCACTCCCGCTATACTGGGAGTTATTACAGCACCCGTCGGGTTAGTGATGGAAGGTGTCACTGTTGGTGCATTTGCTGCTTACGCGATGTTAAAGTACGTCAGTCGTAGGATATCTCACAAAACCAAACATAACTACAAAATCAGAATGCTTGCAGACGCCAAGCTAGACACCTTAGACGAGTACGTCTCACACGTGACCGCAGACAGTGAAGTGTCCCAAGAAGAATTTGTCTTAATTTTGTCCGAACTTAGGAAATTGAACGAGCTGAAGGAAAAGATTCGAGCTAACACGACGACTAAGTTGCAAGAAAACAAAACGACGAGTAAAGAAGAATTTGATCGGCAGGTCAAGGAGAAAGCAGAAGCGCTTGCCAACGAAAGGGCGGCAGTTTTTAAAAAAGACTTTATGAAAAAAGTTGGCGAATAACTTTGTCCAAGTCCGTCCAGTACCAGGAACCGCTACCTCCTGCGTACCTTCGGCGCCTCCTTTTTAAAACTGGTTTATTATAGAAAAGAAAGGAGCCAACTTTAGTCAATTATCGATCATTGTTAATAAAGACTATTACTTTTCCGCCGTGTTTCCAAATTTAACCGGGGCGTACAAAATAAAGTGAAAACAGACGAAGCCGTCAACCATTGGACAACTGACCCCATGTCGTTTTTTCAAAACCAGTTTAATTTCGCGGTCAACTGCGCGACAACAGCATGTGGAGTGGGTTTTGACCTATTATTCGATTCAAACCCGTACTCTCTGCGCTGTTTAATTTTCACATGTATTACACGGTGAGAAAAATCTTTTACGACTGCTTGATGCCTATCCCGAGTGACGATATCAACGCGTTGCAGAACAACTAAGACCATCGGAACTTTGTGATACGTGTCGATCAAAATGAATCGTTTAAACAAACGAGGGATGCCGTATCAAATGGGCTCGCTACCGCTTACTATTATGACAATGGTTACGTCCCAGTCCAGGGCAAAAACTACGACGCATACGATTTACATCTTACCTCCGGCAAGTACGCGGGCTCTACCTACATGGGCTTTGGATGGGCTAAACCGCCTAAAGGCTTTGGTCACCCAAGTACCTATACGGTAAAACCAGCGTTATGGCACATGGCACGGGACTAGACGCCCAACGGCAATTTACACCATAGTGGAATCTTCGATAAACTCAGGGACCTATTTGGAATAGTCAATCGACCAGTTTCATGACTCGTTGCTGTGCGCAAACACGCTTTTGAATTTTGTAGTCGCACTGGGGTTGTACTTGGTCCCTCCGACATGGATTTACGCATCAGCACGTTT